GCGAGTAGGCTTAGCAAATGCAACTATTCTCGACTGATAAGGAGTACACGGCACTGAAAGTTACAAAAAAAAAACGGTTCCGCTGAGCTTGATATTGCACGAAATGATTATAAAAACAAGCAGACGAACCTGTGGCGGTGAACACATCGCGAAAGAGAACGACGGAGCAAGTACGTTTCGTTCGGTCAGCGAAGCCACGTTCACTCCGATAGACACGGATATATACTGCAGAGCCCTCACCTGAAAAGTGCATGCTAGGCTTGCTGTATTTATTTCTCAAAGATTCACATAGTGTAGCGAGGTTATCCATGCGTTTACGGGTCCGCAGGTCACGAGATGTGCCTCCAAACCGTAGACTCGATCAGAGCGAAACCATTCCGACTCAGTAGTGCAGCTTTGATAGACAGATGTTCAACGTTATATAAGTAGCTGGAGGTGTGAGAGCGTCATAGCCGTGAAGTAGGTGGTAGCTGGCGTCATCTAGAAAGACTAAACAAAACTAAAAAAAAAGTTGCCTGCCGCGACGTACGTTGTCATACCCACTTTCACGGCTTCCTTGCGGATTGTTTACGCCTCAGCCCATTCAGAATTTCTTACGTCACAGCCCATTGAGGATAACTGACACCGGAAGCCTAAATATGCGCTGGTGCAATGCATATAACTACACATGCACACATGGACACATACTGCACATATAGTACGCAACAAGTATACGCTAACATATACGCTAACAAGTACGCAACAAGAGCACACTCCACCACTCACAGCAACGACCCACACTACGACGTGTTTACTTACACCCTACTATGAAAGCGCCCCTGCTTATATAGTGACGAATTTCGACTGACCATAGTAGCACAGGTTACAAGTAGGTTTTCTTACACTTTTTTGCGTTTTGTATTAATACCACGACATGCGCACACGTAAATATATTGTATCTGATGCTTAGACAAACGGGAGTTTATCAATGGTTGCACAATAATGAACGGAATAATTACTAGAGCTTATCAGGTTTTCACGAACGCGGATACCCCCAAGCCTTGCATAGAATGCCCACGGCATACGACCGCTGCGCCATCTGTCGACTACTGCCACAGTTACCTTTTTTTTCTTGAAGCCTCCAAGAGTGCAAACACTTGCCGTGCGTTAGCCAATTCGGATGTCACGTTTTTTTTTTCTTCTTGTTACTTGGAGAGGGCGCAGCATGCAGACCAAACTTTGTCTCCGTCGTGGTAGGTGTCCTCTGGTCACGTCGACCTCGTTTAGTTGCTTCGTCTTAACGTTTGCTTATATTCATTTTACGTGCGTACCACAAGTGTGACCGTTAGCCATGGATACAGTACACCACTATCCCTTCAATGACAAGGTTTTTGATGCGGTAACGACCGTCCTAGCAGTGTATACGTACGTTACAACGCGGGTCTTGCGAGAGAAATAAGCGATGACCTCGCATCCGACGGTATTTTTTCGTGAGCTATGACAGTGGCTGTTGGCGTCGCGGCAGCTCTAATACTTGAGTGGAGGAACTATCGCTGCAGTGCGCAAGCTTACTATAACTTTATAGAATGTTGTGTCTGCATACATTTCTGCTTCAGATGCCTCTCGCGATTCGCCTCGCAAGTCAACTGGCAATCATAGTGCGTGCCACGATTTTGTAGTTAGCGTTGTGGCTGTGGTGGTAATTACTCTGGATTCGGAATACTCTTTTCACAAAGGTGAGTGAGCGTTAGTACTTACTTGCTGTGCACAGCTGTTACTAGAAGTGCATTTTGTGTTGAGTTTCTCACGACAAAGGAGAATCATGGACGAGAAAGGCATACTGCACGCGTGCATAATTCCTTTCTACTTCTAAGTGCTGGCATGGGCAATTCAAAACGAATGCGATTCAGAATTTGGTTTACCCTCCAGAAGTCATTGGTTCACTTTTCACAAAACTTTCGTTATGATGATGTTTAAAAAGTTTCTGATGGTTGTAACCTAGCCTGGCAAATAAACACTCGGTGAAACTTCGCAGCCTGTTTCCTTTTGTGCTTTCACCTGCCGTGGTAGCGTAGCCTTATTGGGTGTCGTGTGACTATGATGATGGACGCAGGTTTGACTTCCGGCCACGGCTTCCGTATTCGAATGGGGGTAAACTGCAAAGAACATCCATATGGCGGTAGTGGCACGTATAGCTCTATCAATTGTATATGATCGTACTTTCACGCAGTGGTATCAGGTTTCCTAGATTAATGAAAAATTAAGTGTGATGCTTTTTTACGCGCCTCGTTGAATTCATGAGTGCTGTTGGTGCCGTGCGAAACTAAAAATGCGTGGGCTTACCAAGTATGTCGACACCGAAACAAATCATTATTTTTTTACACTCTAAGGTAATCGATAAAGCAAGACTGCTCGGGAAGCAGAGCTCCTTGTATTCGTGAAAAATTGGTAGTTTGAAACAACACGAGACACACATGGAAGATGGAAGTGTGCGGAGCATCGTGCGAGTGCCTGACGATAAAAAAAAGAGAGGATTTTACTCTACACTAATAAAACAAAAGAAAACGTCACTCCTGCATCGCTTACAACAACCTTAGGTAAAAGCAATCGCTCGCGACTGGCCGCGGCCGGCTATAAGCTTGGCGTGGGCATACGCGCGAGCAAGACCTTCGTGATTGAGGAGAAACTTAAACGCTGAAGGAGGAACGTTGCTCCTTTGGTCCTTGCCGCGAGAGGGTGCGACGGGTAAAGTGCCCGAAAGGGAGGAAGTCGCTGCGCCGAAGGAGCAACGGAGCCCGTTTCTCGATTCTCGCTCCCTTTTTTTTAGAGTGCACTTCCACATTTCGCACACTGCCTGAGAGCGCACGCAGAATGTAGTGTATGTGAATTTCTGTTTCGCCATTGGCACATCACCGCAACATTTTACGTTTAGCTCGTTTTCTGATGACGGTAATCAAGATCTGTAAACTATTACGTTCTGCAAACTGCACTGAAGAGGCTTTTGCCCAGCAGTGGGCCTAGTCAGGCTGATGAGGATGTTGATATGTATACTTTACGAAATAACACATATGCGAAAAAGCCACCATGTTCATGAAGTCTGCTAATAAATACAGGTCACATTTTCACACAGGAGCCCTTATTAAGTGTAGGATTGTTCGAGGGCATAACTGGTGCAGACTGAACAAAATGCTTTTTTGCAAGAAAAAAAACGCAGCACACTCGTTTGTGTCTTCTTTGCGTGTTGCGTTTTTTCTTCTCGCAAAGTAAGGTTTACAGCCCGTATTTGTAATGTAGTTCATTTTAGGCTTGTTTTCCAGGTGCGAAACATCACTCTAATGAGAAGGGGCACGGAATAAGAAGCCATGTTAGGTGTTTTGCTAGACAAGTTATAACACATCTCATTTATCATTATCATGAAATACGTTTAGTAATAAGACGAAGATCGCAGTAATATGGCGACGCTCATGGCGTTATTCACAAATGCAAAAGCTTCACTTGAAAAATAATATTTTCGCTGACTCCTAAACAAATGGAGCACTGATATTCTTTTTATTAAGGCTACTTCACGCAGCGTGGACTTAAAGTACAAAAGAAAAATCTGCTGAAACTACAAGAAGGTATCCCGTCCAGCTGACACAGACATGAAAAGTTTCAGCAGTAGGCCATTTCGAAAGGGCAGATATGTGACGCACGCAGTGTAGCAAAAACGCAGATTTCATCGTAATTTAGAAAATGACGAGATAATCAGAGCACAATTAGAAGTTTTAGAGGCGGAAATGCTGTACGCCTGTGTGCTCAGTTGTGATTACCCGTTGAAGAACCGTGGTGGAAATCTCTGGAGCCCTCCACGACGGCGTCCCTCCTAACCATATGGTGGTTTTCGGACATGAGACCGCACATATTATTCATCATTTCAATTTGTTGAGCAGGCTGTGAAAGCACTCTAACAAGTCACTTCTCGCATTATTTTAAATCTCTTGCTGCTGCAATGCCGCAAGCACCATGAAGCACCGACACTAGCGCATTTGTGCCAATTTTTTGTACAGTGAAATATTCCGAGAAAAACACTGCAATCCTCAAAAGTGTGTGTCATAAATTACGTCACAGGAAGACCCATTAAAAAAACTAGTCGGCCAGGAAGTATTAGATGGCGGCTTGTCAAGTATTAGATGGCGATGCATAGTGGGAAGAAAGTTGTGGCAGTAGACTAATTACATTGCAGCAAAGAATAATGGCCAATCTCAACAGAGTTCATTAACTGCTACCAATTCCATCAAACTAAGGAGCACGAGGAAAGTAATAGGCGGAAGGACAGGGAGGCAAGCTAGATCTTAGACCGGCTGGCTACTTTGTGCTGGAGAAGGGGAATTAAAGGTGTTAGAAAACTTGTGAAATTGTTGCACAGAGCGAAATGATAGTGGACTCACTCCAAAAGTTCATTCGTTTGAGGCATAAAACGGTTGGCCTGAAATTGAGCTCGTATTTTTGCTATGGTGCAGTAGGTGGTCACCTAAGATGTTAAAGGGAAGAAGTAACCGATGATGACAAATATTTTAATGGTGAAAAACGCGTGGTATCCATTCAACCCGCACTAAGCGATGAGCCCGAAAACAACCATTTAAAAGGACGAATGCATGTATTCCAGTATCAAAGTTTTGTAACAATCATGAACTACTTCAATGGTGCAACAGCTTAAAGAAAGCCAGCATAGGCAGTGATGTAATGTGGGGGAAAAGCAGTGTCCGTAAGGCCTCAAAGAGAGCCCGCATAAATGTCTGCCATTTTCACCAACTGTGCTGAACACGCAAAAATCTGAGGAACGTTTTCCACCGTCTCGTATATTAAGTTGTCTTAAGCGCAGTATATCCTTTGTATAACTTTGGCCTCACATATTTGCGAATTTACTGCAGTATAAAGGCAATCCTCAGTCAAAAAGCTTAAGTTGGGCTGTGGTGAATTACTACGATTTTATGATTTCTCTAATCAGTGTGCCACTGACACTTTTTCTGTTGTTTTTCCAGGATTCTGGTTCCACAAAAACTACTCCACGCAACGCAATATGGTCATGGCCAATTGTGGTAAGATAATGAAATGTACTATCCTACATTAGTGTGAAGGTCCCTGAAAAACCTTCAACGCTGTTCTTTAAGTTACAGGCACTCCGTAAGAGTGGGTCACCGTACTCGCAGTGAATTTCACAACTTTGAGCGTTTTATTAATAAATATATTCAAGCCGGGCAAAAATTAAACAAGTTGGTTGGAATTCCTGTAGAGCAATCGAAGACCGCTTGAGCTATGTCTCAACTGGGTTACGATTGCCCTTACGCTGAACAGGACACGACTTGTATAACACTTTGTAGGCCTTTTTCTGATGTACTGACAGGATAAGTGGAATTTCGGTGATGACTAACACTCGAAAACTGCTCGCCGTTTTAAAGGACATGTATTGGAACAGTAAGTTATCTTTGTTTATAGCCTAAGAATAAATGCAAGTACAAACAACGGCCATTGCTTGTGCACAAAATGTGCGCCACTGCTCCATTCAATAGGTATTACTCACTTTCCTGACGTACAGACTTACATTTTTGTCACTGTTTTCCGACTTCAATATTTTGAGATATTATAAAATGACATGAGGTACTTTGACGTCACTGCTGTGCGAAACATTACGTCTTTTTATGCTCAGTATTTACATTGTCTGAGAAGATTTTCACTGCTTGAGAATAAAGCAGTAAGCATAAATATGTTTCTTAAGGGAAATAGCGGTGACCTCAGGAAGAGCTGTCTTTTTTTATTATGCTGCATCGGAGTGCTGAAGACGAGAGGATGATATATGCATCAATAATGCTGCATCAAGTTGGCTGGAGAGTCAACACCAACAGATGTCTACGCGCACACAGCCTCCGCTGGAATAAACCTCTTGGTTTAAAATTGATATCACATGCAGTTATTTTCCCTGCGATTGCACAACATGGCATTGCGATTTGCACAGTTGCACTAAATAAAAATACACTCCACCTAGAAAGTTCTTTTTAGCCTTGCGGAAGCTACCAAATTCTTTCGCCAATTATAAGGACAAAAATGCTCATGATGTATTCACCCTGCCGCGTCGTCGGTCTAGCGTCTACCTTGCGTTTATGCGCACGCGTAGAGGAGCAGAACGCTGACAAAAAAAAGAAAAACAGAGTTGCGATGCCAGTTCACTCCACTTCGAGTTCATAACGTCGTCATCCTGCGCTCTATGACCTTAAGGTCTAAACCGAAGTGTATATTTGCTTTCAGAAAACTTCCAAACTGACGCTTGAACAGCAGTGTGTACTCAGAACTGCTTTGCATTTTTTTCTATAAATTGAATTTGAAATAGTCAGGGTGTTAAGTGTAGCAGGTTTGTCTAAAACAAGACAGCCGTGATATTACAAAAACAACACAGCGTACCTTATTTTGGCTCCAACTAATGGCTCATATCAGCTTAGATTCGTCATGGGCGCTGTCATGTTCCTATAAAATCACAATAATGGTCATTGCTTATATGAAGAGTAAATTGTTACGGGGGTTTATTGAGGTACACAGCAACCTGGAAGAGAGCAGCACCAGCAGGCAAAGCGTACCCAGGGAGCAAACAGCCGAGCGAGCCCGGCGATGGCAATGCGCCTCCGCGTGTGTCCATCTTCTTCCTCACAATAACCTCCGTTATCGAGAGGTAGCCATCCTGGCGACCTAGAGAGATGTAAGAGGGTCATAATACGGCTTGAGACAGTTATTGAGGACTGTTTCTCGCCCCCGAAGATGAAGGTCGGAAGATGGCGTAACGAGTTAAACCACACAATTAACAGGAGAGGTCTACGCAACCATGCGGTAGAGTCCATGATACTTCGAAAGAAGCTTAGACGAAAGGCCGAGAGCAGCAACTGGCGGGACCCAACACCACACGAAGGAATCTACAGTGAAAGGGTCAGGAGGGATGCCGGAAGCGTGACGATATTTTTGGCGTCACTGTTGGTCGTAGGTGAAAGAACGGGCCAGTTATCGGCATTTTTCGGCGTGGTGAGCCACCGAAGACACAGCCTGGTAGTCATCAACGTCTGGATGATATGGCAGAATCGTATCAATGGGGCTAGTGGGTTCACGGACGTATAGCAAGAAGAATGGTGAAAATCCGGTGGTTGCTTGGGAGGCGGTGTTGTAGGCGAATGTGACAAACGGAAGAACAAGATGCCAAGTGCAGTGGTCTGACGCAACGTACATCGACAACATGTGAGCCAGAGTTCGGTTAAATCGTTCCTTTAATCTGTTTTTTGTGGGTGATAAGCGGTGATTATGCGGTGAATAATTCTGCATTCGGATAGGAGTGATTACAACAGGTATGAGAGAAATACACGGCCGCGATCACTGAGCAGTTCCCGAGGGGCGCCATGGCGGAAAACAAAGCTTCGTAGAATAAACGAGGAAACGTCCTTGGCTGTTGCGGTCGGTAATTCAGCGGTTTCGGCCTACCTTGTCTAGTGATCCACGGCGACGACAATCCAACGGTTGATTGATTTGTCGGGTTTAACGTCCCAAAACCACCATTTGATTATGAGAGACGCCGTAGTGGAGGACTCCGGAAGTTTTGACCACCTGGGGTTCTTTAACGTGCACCGAAATATGGGTACACGGGCCGACAACATTTCCGTCTCCATCGAAAATGCAGCCACCGCAGCCGGGAATCGAACCCGCGACCTGCGGGTCAGCAGCCGAGTACCTTAGCCACTAGACCACCGCGGCGGGGTGACAATCCAGCGGTTGCCAGCGCCAGTGCATGGGAGAGGCCCGTACAAGTTAAGGCCGACACGATCAAATGGGTGGGCTGGGCAGGGAAGTGGCTGGAGAGGTGCTGTAGAGAGGTGTGAGAGTAGTTTGCGTCGTTGGCAGGCGAGGCATGAGTGGACGTATTTGCAGACGAAGCTGTACATTGGGTACCAATAATAGCGTAGGCGAAGGCGCGTATACGTCTTGAACACGCCACCGTGGCCACACTGAGGGTCATTGTGGAAAGCGGAGAAGATATCGCGACGAAGATGGCGGGGCACGACCAATAACCATGTGCGGTTATCGTTGTGGTAGTTACGGCGGTGTAAAAGACCATCGCGGATAGCGTAATACTGCACTTTGCGGCGTAGCGCTTGTGGAGCCGGAATGGTCAGGGGGCTTGACAAAATTTTTAGAATTGTGGCGATGCAAGGGTGATTTCGTTGCTCCGAGGCCATGTCCAAGATGTCGAGTGGCAAAATATCGTGATTGTGAATAGAAGCGCTGGCGTCTGAATTAAGTGGGAAGCGTGACAGGGTGTGAGCATCAAAGTGCTGTTAGCCAGAGCGATATACGACCCGGATGTCGTATTCCTGGAGTCGGAGGGCCCACTGAGCACCTGAAGGGTTTTTGAGGGTTGACAACCAACACAGAGCGTGGTGGTCTGTTACGACGTCAAAAGGGCGACCGTAAAAATAGGGGCGAAACTTCTGTAGAGCCCATATGATGGCCAGGCACTCTTTTTCAGTTACGGTGTAATTGGTCTTGGGTTTTGTGATTGCACGACTGGCATATGCGACCACGTATTCGGCGTCGGCATCATCACGTTGTGCGAGCACAGCACTAAGGCCGACACCACTGGCATCAGTATGAATTTCTGTGCGTTTGCTCGGAGCGAAGTGACGCAAAATCGGTGGAGACGTAAGCAGGCATCGAAGTGTCGTAAAAGCATCGTCACAGGCTTCTGACCAGGGTACATTGTTCGTTGTCGCCTTGGAGGAGTGCATTGAGAGGTGCGATGACAGTAGCAAAATTACGAACGAAGCGCCGAAAATATGAGCATAGGCCAATAAAGGTGCGCAGTGCTTTCAGGTTAGCAGGCTACGGGAACTCGGATATGGTTCGAATTTTAGCAGCATCGTGAAGAATGCCTATTTTTGGAGACGACGTGACCTAGTATAGTTAGTTTTCTAGCGCCGAATAGGCACCTTTTCAAGTTAAGCTGGAGACCGGCATTTTCGACTCAGGTCAAAACCTGATGCAACCGTTGTAGATGGGTCGGGGAATCTGGCGCAAAGACGACAATGTGATCAAAATAGCAGAGGCAAGTATGCCACTTCGAGCCACGGGAGATGCCGTCCATCATGCGTTCAAAGGTAACGGGCGCGTTACAGAGACCGAATGGAATTACAGTGAATTCGTATAATCTATCTGGTGTTACAAACGCGGTTTTCGAGTGGTCAGTCTCAGCCATGGGCACTTGCCAGTAGCCAGAGCGGAGATATAATAAGGAAAAGAACTCCGCATCTTGCAAGCAGTCCAGTGCGTCATAAATTCGTGGCAACGGGTACACATCCTTTCGGGTAATTTTGTTAAGCCGGCGATAATCAACCCAGCATCGTATTGTGCCATCTTTCTTCCGAACAAGGACGACAAGTGATGCCCAAGGACTGTTGGAAGGTTGAATGAGACTGCATTCAGGCATGTCATTCACCTGGTCATCGATAAGGCGCCTCTCACTCGCCCATTCTCGGTAAGGACGCTGTCGAATGGGCGCATAGCTTCCGGTGTCGAAACAGTCGTTGTGCGGCCGAGTGCCTTTGCTTGGCAGTCAAAAGAGGAAAAGAAATCATCGAGCAAACGAAGAAGTTGGTCTCGCTCTGTCGTCGTAAGGTCGCTAGCTATAGCTGGTGTGAACGATCGCGGTAGTGGCCGAGGAGTTGATGTCTCGAAGGTGGCCACATCAGTGGGGTCGTCCATGGTGTCGAATATGGAAGACGACGCCAGCGGCTCGGCTTTGCTGAGGGTTTTCCGGTGTCGCAAAGTGATCGGCTCCGGCGATGAATTGGTGATGTACATCAAAAAGGCACCTGAATGGAACTCGAGAATGGCAAATGGCAACGGCAGTGATCGGCGGCGAACTAGGAGTGCAGACGGTGCGAAAAGCACTGAGCCGCCGTCTTCAGAGTCACAAGAGATGGAGACAAGAACAGTAGACTGGGCAGGCACAATGGTGTTGTCACAAACTGTGATTTTGTGACATGTGTTCTTGTCATTGATGACATCTGTCGAAAATGAGAACAACTCGATGTCAGCGCGGAAGCAGTTGATGAACGCACAATGTGTAGAGAGGAAGTCCCACCTCAATATGACGTCGTGAGAACTAGATGGCAGCGCAATGAATTCGATCACATAAAGAAAATCCTGGATGACGACACGAGCGGTGCAGGCTCCGGATGCCTCGACGTGCTGGCGTTGGCTGTACGAAGGGTAATCCAGAAACAGGCGTCGTAACTTTTCCGATATGGTGGCAAATGCGGGCATCAATCGCTGAAATGGCAGCGCTGGTGTAGACAAAGGCTAGCGTCCATGTTTCTTCTATAGCGACTTCAATAACATTTTAGGTGTATCAATGAGAGATTTAAGAGTTAGGTAGACTGTCAAAGAGTTGGTAGTATGTGCAGAGACATACATGGTTTGTAGAAGACCATTTTGCCTCATGCGTCATATCTTGCCGACAAATAGATTGCTGTAATAATGTCAAGTGTGTGATGGTCTTTATATTATGTGCGATAAACATGTGCTTGATAGGTAGGGGTATCCGAACCTACTTTGTGTGTCAAACGTAGTTTGAATAACCTGTTCGTGAAGGTAGATAAGTACATCACTAAAGGCAAACGCTTGTGTCAGTTACACATAGTGCTCTAAATGAAGAAATACGGTATTTTGTTTTCAAGTTAAGTGCTCACACGTGATCAGTTTATGAGTTGCTGCACTATGTTTTCTTTCTCCAGTTTATGCACTCCAAGATCATCTACTTGAACGCATCTACGAAGGAGTATCCTGGCATAAATTGCATTAAAGAATACCGGGGCTCCTGGAATCGCAGCGCTCGACTGCTGACTAAGATGATGGTGTCCGTGTTTTCGTTTACACATTGGTGAGTTGTCATACCTCAGCTGACACTGTAATAATAACGTGTACTGGTATCATTTGACTAGAGATCACCAAAACGTGAATGTAACAGAAACAATTCACACACATTGACTCTTGGACATATTGATAAATAGAAGACCAGCATGTGTCAGCCAGACGACTGTGGGTTCGCGGATAGGGAAGTTGCCTTGCTGCTCAAAAGTAAAGCTATCAGTGCAAATCTTACAATAAAACCCAAAATGAACGAAAGAATTGCAAATTTAAAAGCTCGTTTTTATTGCCACATACAATATTACTTAGAAGCAAAGGACAAGGGTATGCCGGTTACTTTTTATTAGGAAAACAAAGAAGATTAAAACAAACCCTCCCACAAACACGTCGCCAATACATCGTGCTCTCTAGAAAATAACACTTACATACCTTGTAAGGATAATAATGCATATCATTCTATTTATAATGTTACAAGAAAGGCAGATCCAGCGTGTTCCGACTTGAGGGAATATAAGTTGTGCTGACTGGGCGCGTTGATGCATGATAAAATGATATTGCTTTAGCGCAGCTTGTTTTGAGCGTGAAGGAAAGATGGTATACAGTCAAGAAGTGGAAACAACAGACGACAACCTAAGCGAGTCATCTTTTGTCCACGCTTGAACCGAGCTGCGCCAAAGAAATATATGTATTTACAACTGCAGTTATTTGAGCTGAGCTGCAGAATGGAGCTCGCGTCTGACTGTCTACTCTCGTCCTCCTCATGCTCTGATTCATGGCAAGGCAATCATATGACTACCTGAAGGCTTTTACTGGCATGCTTGTGTCGCCACGTAGTTTGAATGTTAGCCTTCGAACCATGGGTTGCTCCATTTGAATGCCACCACTCAAAAAAGTCTAGTTTGCTTTATTTATTTATTCTATTCTATCTTCCTACTAATCTTACAACCTTCGCCTTTAATTTCTTAAAAATTCTCATTTTTTGTACTCATTGAATTTTCATGTTTAGTTATTGACAGTGGGCGACGTGTTCTGGGAGGAACGAAAGAGATAAAGATGACAACAAGATCACGTCCCAACCAAGTTGTTGCGTTTTATGCGCTAGGTGCGAATGAGAAAAAAATTACTAAGGAGTATAATAAATTATTTTCGCAATCAATGGAGATTGCTCAAACCTCTACAGCCCCATTCTTTAAAAAATGGTTGGAGTGACTTTTTTCAGAGTTATTCAACCATATGAGTTGCGAAACTGCGTTCCGGAACCCGGACACGTTATTGGCCGACCTACTGGCAGTGAGCCGATCGTCGCGTTATCTGGGAGCGTCGATACAAAACACTGCATCGCCAATCAGGCGCGCGCTTTTTTTGGGGAGGGGGAAGGGGCGGGGGGGGGGGTAGCTTAATGCCACACTAAACACTGGCGTTGTCGCCAAATGGCCTCAGCTTGCACGGCGCCTGCCACCGCTGTCAGCTGTTTTCGCTATACAAAGACGTAATCAAAGCCGGGTCAAAGCGTCAAGGTATATTTCGTCAAAGGTGGTGCTTGCAATTTTGTGCTACTATGATTTTAACGCTGTGTCCAGATTATTTCAATTACTCCTCTCTTACTCGTTTGAAAATGTGCGCTTGAGATTGATTGCTCACGGGAAGTTTGACGAATCCTTTTAACTGTTCCACTCTGTGGTTCACGATGTGTCTCACTAACAGTACGGATGTGATGGCCGCACGAACAAGATACAAATACGGTAGAGTGCAAAACCAAAGCACAACAGTACCGATCAATACTTACAGCGAATTCGCCGCTTTGTCTTGCACGCAGTGGTCGAATTACACTAATCGCGAAATCCATGAGACACCGGCTGGGATACCATATACTTATGAAAGCCCGATGACAAGAAAGTGGGAACTATTGTTATTTGCTTGCAGCTAGCAATGCAAGCGTTTCTCTTCAGCTGCTATGTTCGTGGTGTCTTTCTAATGGCCTCGGTGTTTGCTGCTGGGGAACGTCGTCTGCTGCCGTCAACAGACTCACAGGTTGGATCCACCCAAATCAACGCTGCATCCCGCTTGCATCATGCCTTGCCGCTCACTATTTTGCCGAAATGTAAACATTGTGGGCTCGCCACATGAATCTGATAAACTAGCGTCTTCGCGGCACCGTCGATTACGCTCTACTAGCTGTGTACCACACGAACATGCTGCCTGTAGCCACGTTACTTTTAGCGCTATGCGGAAAACATGAAAAATGACACATCACGCGAACAAGCAGCTCCTCTGTCCCTTATCACGTCTCCACCACTGCGACAAAGTAACATGTTAGGCATCCTTAGGCCAACTTACCTAAGAACACCACCAACTCACGTAAGAACAAATTCTAGGCGCTGACTTGTTGTTTGGCAGAATGTGACAGCGCTCACAATTTTGCTAAATGTGAGGACACAAAATATTGCGTTTTCTAGTTAGTTTTGTTTTCAAGAGATAGCGCTATAATCTACTCACAACTACCATTTCATCCAATGCCGTGTTCGGGTTTTGATACACGGAGCCTACGGGGAGTTTCGAAACTAATATGATGATATAACTCTGACTTTTTTAACATCAACTACGCAAGAAATTTGCTGTAACTAGGCGTGATCTTGGCGCAGAGCAAGCACATTAGCAATGCCATACTAACGTTTTAGCAATTAGTACTCCTAATATTCATGCAAAAGCACACGCCATTTCGTTTCTAGTGTATTATATACCTTAGTCTATCTATGATACGGTTACCCACCTCGCCCCACGGCATGACTTCCATTCTGGATCTATGCTACGGTTACCTACCTCACCCCACGGCATGACATCCATCTCCGGTCGTAGCTTCTACCTCGGCGAAGCGCCTTATGTTCCAGTAACCCATGGGCCTGTATGGTCAGTGGCGATTGATACTATCACTTGGATAACAATGGAGTATCATGTGATATTGGTGTGTCCATGGTAACGCACAAGGGCTTCAAGCAGGCGGCACTTGATATTACATACCCACTCCATAATGACGTATACCCGTTTATGTTGGTAACAGTTGTCTGCTAGACCACAAAACGTTCTGGGGAGCAAGCCAGTTTTTTAGTTTATTGCTGCCATCTTCATGTTTCTGGAACTTTAAGGAGTAGTCGGAATAAAAATTTATTTGTCGCATTCCCGTTTATGCTAATGATTGTTTTTTGATACGCAGTGTACAAGGAACATTGTGCTAAACAGCTTAGATGTTAAAAGCGCTCCTAGCCATCCACACAGCTGATTTTTCACTCGCGCAGGAGTCACATCTAAATAACAGAGATCTACTCCGTAACTCTAATGACTCAGTGTCAGTTCTACACTCGACAGGTTGGGTAGTGTGCCACTACTCAAATAAAATACAGTGAACATTCAACATTGTTTCTTTGCAGGAAATAAATACAGAATTTTCCTGTGGGAGGCAAAAACTAGATGCTAAAAGCTTGACGAGGTCTCACCCTCTATTAGCCAAAACGCATAAGTGACATATACCTTTACTCATCAGCAACACACAACTATATACATTGGTTACATATTTCACTGGTAGATGACACTGACATGTTGTATATGTATATTTGTATATTCAAAATAATCAAACATTAGGAACATGCGTTTTTGGCATATACAAACAAAAGCACACATTTTAAAACACGCTTCGTTGCACATGGTATACATTCAAAATACACTAAGCACTGAGAAAAAAAACACTGTTGCAACCAATCTCAGTTTTGAATCGCAGTGAACAATCTTTACAAATAAACAAAAACAAAGCGGGCAATTACTCTTATGTGTCAATGACTATGGGTCTGTAATGACGTTAGTCCAGAAAAGAAGTGACTTAAGATGAGATTTAAATGGTTTAGATTTCAGTGTAAAGTCTAGATTGGATTCATTAATATTCAGTAACCAAATATTTGTAATCGATGTCCTACTTTCTTTAGTTCGTGCGTATTTTCTTGGTTTTGCGGGAAACATTTCGTAAGCCGTATTTAGTTGATATAGTGCGTGGGTAGGAATCCTGTGGTTTTTTCTTATGAATATGTTGCATCAGCTTGAAACTATAAACTTTTCGAAGAGGCAGAATTTCGTGTTTGAGGAAAAGCGGTTCACTGTCTAGGTCCCGGGGATGACCTTTATACTTTTCTTTGATACGAAGCACGTGCCTCTGCAAAAGTTAATAGTGCATCATAATTGCTTATACTGCCCCATACCAACATTTCATATAAACGTTTCAGTAGAACAAGCTATAATAAAGAGATTTCAATGACCATGAGGGAAGGAGGAAAGCGATTTTACTCAAGCACTCTACCGAACGAGCTATATCTGTTAGAGACAATTAACGTGAGGCGTACATGACAGCTGCTTGTGAAACCAGACTCCGAGGAGTTTTTGTGTACATACTGAGTTGTTCAAAACGATGATCGCTGAACAAAATGACTATATTATCGTTGACCCGCCTGTTTATGGATCTGAACATAATAAATTTGGTATTTACTGTGTGATTATTTCAGCTTGTTTTTTGTTATTAAATGACTTAGTTATTTCCGAATGGTGAAAGCTGATACGTCATCATGATTACATTAGGAACCTCAGAATCACAGCAGAGCTAAAGGTTAAAAGACGACCAGCAATCTTGATGTTTTGAAAACTGCCCAGGTCGAACTAAATAGAGTGACTCGTGTCTTTCAAGCACGAGAGGCGATTTCGAACACAGTTCCATGGCACCCGGTGCTCGTTTTATTAGCAACACTAATCTTGTGGAGCTAGCTATATATGGAAATGCAAGTCTCATTTTTTACCAAATTGATTTTTATGTGTGATTTAACGTCCCAAAACCACCATATCAATACGAGAGACGCCTAAGCGGAAGACTTTGAAAATTCTGACCCCCTGAGGTTTTTAACGGCATCCAAATCTGATTACATGAGCCTACAGGAATTATTGTCAAATAAATGTGGCTTGGCTTATTTCTGCTACCAGCAGCTACACGAAAGAATAAATTTAGCCAGTTGTGATAACAGTGGCATCACCTTCTTACGTTCACAATGCTATCTGCATAATTACTGCGTAGCGCTTTCTATGAATGCAGTTTTTTCTACATTTTAGAAATGTGCACTGTGTCAAAGTAAGTCCCTCCGTAATGTCGCGTTTTATATATATATATATATATATATATATATATATATATATATATATATATATATATATATATATATATATATATAATTGATTGATATGTGGGGTTTAACGTCCCAAAACCACTATATGATTATGAGAGACGCCGTAGTGGAGGGCTCCGGAAATTTAGACCACCTGGGGTTCTTTAACGTGCACCCAAATCTGAGCACACGGGCCTACAACATTTCCGCCTCCATAGGAAATGCAGCCGCCGCAGCCGGGATTCGAACCCGCGCCCTGCGGGTCAGCATATATATATATATATATATATATATATATATATATATATATATATATATATATATATATATATATATAAAACAGATGACTAGTGCATATCCCTTGAAGTCTCAGCATGCATGAACAGTCTTGAGGTACGCATGTCCACGGCCAAATATCACTCCCATCAAACATATTTTTCGGCGTGCGTCTCATGATCGCGTATCTTCCGCTTTTCTGCAACGAGAAAGAGAGGTAGAAGTTTTTTGGCGACGAGATGCAATCTTACTCTGGGAAATTAAGTAATGATTGCGTACTAATACACACATTGCCTTTCACATTGGTACTTATGAATACCGATATTATCCTTGTTTTTGTTATTTTCCTAAAGGAAACGGAGGAAAAGTAAGTTACCTGCAATATAAAATATATATCTGTTTTGTTTTTGTTTTTCTTCTTCTCATACAGGACGATGAATGAAATGCTTTACAAAGCAGCAGGAAAACGTGGGCCGGCGCAAGCTTTTACAGTGGCCGACATAAGTAAGCTATAAGAGTTTACTAAGTTTCTGAATTGGCGTCTGTCTTGAAAGTAAACTGACACGTTTTTTTTTTTGAAGATGGCTTTATTCGACCATAAAACCAGCTTGTATACAGAAACGGCTCTGACCAAAATGAAGCTTCAGAAATGTGGATAAGATGTAGTCTAGTAGTTCATAAATAAGTATTGCAAAATCATACTTAATCATATTGACACTAGCTTGACGTCATACTACAGAACCAATATGCGAACGTGACGATGCAGTCTAGATGCACATGATGACGAGAGGTAACGAAACTTTCAAAACGGGTGTTTGTTCCTCACTAAAGCATTTAAAATGATTGCCTGAGCGTCAAAAATAGTGCTGCATTGCGATGTGGTCATGCAAACGTCATGACATGCTGCACGAACACTTGGGGAAGAGCACGTACTATGTAGTGACACGAGGATAGAGTAGGAGGAGAAACTGTTTTATCTCGGGAACGCCTGCGAAGGGTTGGATTTAGAAAGAGGCGATGGGGAGATGGGCTTGAAGCAAGAAAGACACATTTTTGACATCTAACAAAATGGAAAACAGTAATCTGACATACAGAATTCACTCCCAAACAGAAACAAGTACATGCGCAATGATCGGCGCAATACCGTAACTAACAGTGATTGAAGTCAAGTTCAGTGTTAAACCTTAAAGTTCCCCTAGCTAAGAAGGCGTCTCGATGGCTACACTTATGCGCTCTCGCAAAAATAGATTATCCTTTACTTTAAACAAGACCCCCCCCCCTCCTCGGAGTTACGACGAAGTTGTACCACCTCACCGTCATCGTCGTCGGCACGCGTCCGCTTGACGATCTACTCGTCTGCATTGCTGTTGTCCCGGTCTCATACGTCATCTTCGGCCTGCTTGGTCAAACCTGACTCATCCATGGCTTCATTCATGCGCACTTTGCTGACTTGTGTGTGCTTCTCCCTACCTAGAGCGATGGGGAGAAGTCGCAAGTCTGCCAGGAACTGCTGGGCAGAGGGCGGAAAGTCCGGGCAGCCACACTCGGGGCCACATACGAGGACGTCGGCCACTTCCCGGGTTCTCGGCGCCGACACCCTTCAGAACCCGGCATTCATGCTGCTCCCTTAGCCGTAGCGACACTCATATCTCACGTCTTCGCAGCTCAGTGTCCCAACATGGAATGCCAGGTCATCCTCCAGAATTTTTCGGGGCAAAGCTTCCTAGCGGGTGGTTCTGTCCTTTCTCCATTGTTGAAGTACGTATTCATCGGTGGCACATACCCGCTCCAGAGCGGATATGTGCCACAGGGGATACGAGATGGGAGATGGCGGTACTTGGAATGTTCACTAGATGGACGCACGGAGGGACACATGGACGAATGGACAGACTAGCAGAGGGAGGGACGGTTGAATGGACGCGCAGAGCGGGTATGTGCCTGTTACATTGCAGGGGGTGTTATAGCAACGTGCAGGTTCTTAGTTAATGGGTGTCCGAGCCGTCGCCCCAGACTCCCACGAAAAGACGAGGCCGTTTGTACGCCACACTTTATACACACGAAAAACGAACACACATAACATGGACAGGCTATTTAAAGAATCCTTCACTGTCTCTGTGAACTATCAAAGTCCTAAACTAACCGTCCCTCCTTTTTAGCATGGACACAAGACATGAGGTCGGTCTCACCGAGGTTCGTTGCTACGTCTTGAGCTGGCTTGCGTTGTCCGCACGGTCAACCAGGCGACTAGTTGATGGGTAGGCTCCGCCCCCGCAGCCACGTCGCGGCTGGACACATCTGCTGGAGCTCGTGCCCGTAGCCCTACAGCTCCGCGTTGCTCGCACGGTAGACGAGGCGGCAACTTAAAGGGTATACGCACCACCACCGACCACGTACAGGCCGGACACCTCCGCTGGAACTCGTGCCCGTAGCCCGACAGCTCCGCGTTGCTCGCACGGTAGACCAGGTGGACCAGTTGGCGCGGTAGACCAGGCACTACCACCGGCCGCGTCCCGGCCGGACACCTCTGCTGGAACTCGTGCCCGTAGCCCGACAGCTCCGCGTGTCCTCAAGCACAGGATGCCTTGAAGCCGCAGCACGTCAGCGACGCACGGCCGTGGCAGGTAGAACGTGGCAGGTAGGCCGGGCTCGACTGTTACTAGGCTCGGGTCCGGAACCCAACGGCCGAGTCGAGAGCCCCGTCTTCCTCGTTCCTTCTCGTACCTTCGCCGCCCCGCTACTCAGCGCTCGTGCTACCTTCGTCGTTGTCTGCTTCCAGCGCGCACTTTTAATGGCGCGCACTTTGAATGGCGCGCACTTTGAATGGCGCGCACTTTGAAGCTTCGCGCACGACACATATCACAAAAGCCCCCCCTTAAATGAGTTTTTTCCTTTCTTTTTTTTAAAAAAAAAAAAAAAACTGCTGACACGTGCGCGGTCTGTAAACCCCTTCACTGTATATGTCCTCTGTATAGTTCACATGTCGAGGTCCAATATTTACTAAATACACAAGAACACCGTTAAATACACTGACATACTTTGAGTGTCCAACACCCAATATCACAGTGCATGAAGTCCGAACTCTTGGCTCACAATCTACTCATGAAGTCCGCACCGGTATTCTCCGACCCTTTTATATGCTGAATGCTAAATGAGTATTCTTGCAATGCCAGGCTCCACCTCAGGACCTTGGTCAATAGTGTAAACTGGTATAGGTGAATCTGCCTCCTCTTCTTCCATCACTACGAATGACGCTGTTTGTGTAAACCTCTCCGGTTCGCGATCCTCGTAACGCTTTAACATGTTGATGTGGAACAACTTGGTGTCACGTCCCAAGTCCAACCAGTAGTCATGACTGCCCTTTTTCCCTGTGACCTTAAAAGGTCCTTTCCATTGCATGAGTAATTTATTTTCCGTAGTAGGGAGTAGAATAAGGGCCCGGTCGCCTACTTCAAGCTGACGTTTCGTGCTTCGCTGATCATAGTATTGCTTCTGTGATTTTCTTGCTCGTGTCAAGTTCTCATGAGCCAACTGCAGTGTTTTTTCAAGACGATCTCGCAGATCCAATACATATCCGTAAGTTGTCTTCGCCTCGTCGCCGATGTGTTCTCCAATCCATAATTCTTTTAACAAACTAAGTGGTCCTCTGACGTCACGCCCGTAAATAAGTTCGAAGGGAGAAAATCCCGTGCTGGTCTGAGGCACTTCACGATAGGCAAAAAGGAGTGGGGCAAGCAACCGATCCCAGGATCTTGGTTCCTCCTGGCAGAGCTTCCGCAACATCTGTTTTAACGTACCGTTAAATCGTTCCACCAACCCGTTACACATAGGATGGTAAGGTGTAGAACTGAGGTGCTTAATGGCCAGTAACTCGTTGACTTCTTTCATCAGTTCGGAAGTAAAACAAGATGCTTGATCACATAGAATTTCACGCGGGAATCCTACGCGTGAGAACATCTCCACCAGGCCCTCTGTTACTGTCGCCGAATCGATTGCTGGCAGGGCCACCGCGTCCGGGTAGCGCGTGGCGAAGTCCACCATGGTCAATATGTAGCGGTTTCCGTTTCTCGACACAGGTTTTAAAGGACCGATAATATCGATTGCCACTCGCTCGAAAGGGGTGTCGATCAACGGCATTACGCCCAGAGGCGCCTTGCCCACTTTACCTTTTGGATATGCTCTTTGGCAAATGTCACAGGATCGCACGTATCTCTTTACTTCTTCCTGAACTCCTGGCCAATAGAATGATCCTAGTACTCGGTCAATTGTCCTCTTGATGCCTTGATGGCCCGCCATCAGACTTTCATGAGCTAGCTGCAGTACTTGGCTCCGCAGTTTGCGAGGAACAACTACCTGCTGTACTATCTTGCCGGAGGATAACCGATAATGGCGATATAAAACTCCCTTTTGCATAACAAACGAATATTCTGTCGATCCTCTCCCAAAAAACACCTGCCCAACTTTGTTCCTACAGAGATCTAGGCTCTTGTCCTCCGCCTGCTCAATCTTGAAGATTCGTTGGTTGATATTCAAAGCGGTTGCTTTCACCGAATCCAACGAAGCACTTGAATTCTTGACTACGCTGATCATTGGTCTCCCGTAGCGATCTGCTTTCATCACCCCTAATCTCTCCTTGACGCTTTTAGACTTCGTCTTCCTTTCCGACAGTCCCTCGCTCCACCTGCTATCTGGATCATTGGGATCACGGGATCCTGGCACGTTTCCCACGATGACGTCATACAATGGGGAAGTCATGCATTTAACGATCACCGTGCCAGAAAAATAGGGCGAAAATATCTCCACTTTTGCTTCGGGAACTTTTATTCTGCTCCCATCGGCTAAAAATACTGTCGTCATAGCTCCTGTCAGCACTTCGTCGGGCACGAGGGAACGTCGCACAACCGTCGTGTTACTTCCTGTATCCCGAAGAACAGAGACAGGCTTATCAAATAGGAGACCCTGGAGAACTGGCATCTGATATTTCGTTGCCATTTGTTGCGTGTTTACTGCCCCCGACACATTATTCTCGGACCCGCCGCCGGATGCGTTATCATTGTCTTTAGAGTTCTCTTCGGATAATATACATGAAGCCTTTTTATACGTGGCGGGTTTCTTGGTGCAAACTTGGGTATCGTGTCCTGCCCTACGACAATGCCCACAGTAAGGTTGCTTCGTCCGAGCGCGACAATCTGAGGCTTTATGGCCGATTTTGTTGCAAACAAAACATTGCACTGAAGTTTTTGAGGTCGTGCTCCCACTTTTCACAGCCATGCCGTTTTCAGCCTTTTCTCGGAAAACAAGCAGGTTAGACTGTCGCTGTGCCTCTAAAAACTGATCTGCCGCTTCAGCCATTTCTTCAAGTCTACGGCAATTCTTTTCACGCAAAAAGAGCGCCACTCGATCATGACACTTACTGATGAACTGTTCAGCTACAATCAGGTCACGAACTGACGCGTATTCTTTGTCTACTTTCGACATTTCCACCCATCGGTCGAAAAAACTCATTA